AAAAAACCCCTCTATGTAGCAGCCTACGTCCCTCATCCCAGAAGCCTTGCAAGCACTTCCAGTGCAAGTGCTCAGTGATTTCGGCATCCTGCTTCTCTCCCTCCTCACAGACGTCTCCCTAACCCCAGTCCTCTCAGGACTCCAACATATCCTTCTCTCAAAAGCAAAACAAGCAAAAGCGTGCAGCCACTCCTTCCACGTAAGGAGAGCGATGGAGCCAGAGGCACCGACGTCCTCAGACACCGGGAGTACACACCGGTCCACACGCATACTCTCAGGTCAAGAGAGACATTTGGATGCGGTTAGGCAGGGAGACTGCAAGCTTCCCGCCAGCTGTGAGCTCAGACCTGTAAGAGGACAGGAATGAGAACGAGGGTGGAGCCACAGCTAGGGGGAGCAGTGTGGGCTTAAGTTATACAGAGAGACGCACACATGTCACCAAGAGGTGTGAATGTGAAATCAGGTGCAGGCACAGGGAAAAAACAAACAAATACAGAAGGTGGGAACTGTGTGAAGATGTCTTGCCTCGCTCCTAAAGGGTGTGGCAACTTTGACCGAGACACTTAGCTTCTCCAGACTTCACTTTTCTCTGCAAGTTGTGTGCCACGCTGTTATAGAAACACCAAGCGTTCTAAAAGAGCAGCAGGGCACAGTGTGGAGAACAGAGGACAGATGCAGTGCTTGCTGCTAGGTGCCAGGAAGCATGATGAGCACTTTACATGCACACGAGCGATCTAACCCTTTTAACAGTCCTATCAGGAAAGTCCTACAAGCACTCCTGCCTTTGGCTGAGGAAAATACAGCACAGACAGGATAAATAACTTCCCCAAGTTTTCCTAGAGTTACACCAAATGGCAAGCTGGCCCAGGAGCCCCCACTCTTAAACCCCAAAACACACTTCGAATGAGGCAAGAGAACGGACTCCAGGGCTCATTTCCCAGTTGTATGACCTTGGATCACTAAATCACTCTGAGCTATTTTTAAACCAGCAAGTGGGTCTGATGATAAGCTCAAGGGCATATGAAGATCAAACAGATTAAAGTATTAAAAGAAGGACCTGACATAGTATGGGCAGTCCACACATGCTGAGTCTCAAATTTCCTATTACGTTCTAAAGATTAGGGATCTGGTAACTTGTGACATTTCCACATACCATGATAACATCTCTCAAAATCACAGGGTTACACAGAGTTCAGTGATTTCTCCTTGGTACCAGTGCAAAGTTATCAGATTGCCTGTGAGACTAATCAGGTCATTCAGGCAGAAGTAGTTACTGTGACAACTTAAGACAAGGTTCACCTTTTGACAGGTCCAGCAGCCTGAGGGTATGGGGAGCGAAAGACAGTAAGCAAACCGACCAAAACGGTGTAGGGGATGATGGATGGGTTTCAAAGTTTCCCCTAAGCAACTGTCACAGCTGCACTTACATGAAAAGGCATGCAGATTGACACTCCAGCATGCCCTTAATGTACCTAATGCTGCCTTTATAGTTCTGTCATCTTTCTCTTTTGGTTCTTGTTTTGTTTTGTTTTGTTTTGTTTCCAGTACCGGAATTGAACTCATGGCCTCGCGTTTGCCAGGCAGGCGTTGTGCCGCTCAGCTAAATCCCCAGCCCCATCTTTCTCTTTCAGCAGTAGTGAGGATCAAACCCCTGAACCCAGAGCCTCATACATGCTAGGCAACCACCGAGCTATAACCTCAGCCCTGTTTTCTGAGGGTACAATGTTCCCATTTGGATTTGGAGCAGCCACAAAACCAGACGTAGTCAACTGTGCATTTAACATTCACATGACTTCAGTATAAATGCAGCTCATAGACACAGTGGGTATCA